TGATAGCCGCCCCCCGTGGTCTCGGCAGTACTGTCCGGTGGCTTGGGGGTGGGTGGGGAAAGAGAGACAGAAAGGCACTTGGACTCCCAGCCAAACTGCTGAAGGGGGGGAGGGGAGGGGAGGGGAAAAAAAAAAAAGGCGGTGCTGCTCCGGCAGCGCTCCTCCTGCTGCGCACCCCAAAGGATCCTCTTTCGCAGCCCACTTTGGAGACCACTGGTTTAACTAACAAAAACATTAAACACAGTGGAAGGTCCCTAAGTAAATTGATAGTTCTTGCTTCACCTTCCCACTTGTGGGATAGTTGCTAGACAGGGAACACACTAAGATGTGTTGCATCATTTTAGGAGTAAGATCTGTATATAACACAAAAATATTTTGCTGTGGGAGGCTCCATCTTGTGTCTCTTGTCCCAGTACTATTTGCTCCAGATATTAATAAAGAAAGGGAACAGCTATTGAAAAGGGACTCAATTGACCAGTAGGGGGTACTGCAGGATCAGGACTGAGGTGCACTGATAGAGCAAAAGGGGAAACTTGCACTGCATCCTCCCGACTCTTGTCGATGTCATCACTCAGCCCTCTACGTTCTAGCTGGTCAGACAGATCTCATTGGTGGGAGGACGGATTATGAGAGTAGAGGCAAACAGACATATTGACCTGTGCCAACTAGACCTGAGCCAAACTATAACCAATCCGAATACTACACACTCTCTGGCCAGCCTTTCCTTTCCCACAATTGTAGAGTTTTCTCTCCAGCAGACATGTAGCTACCATCATGCTGATAAATGATTTTTGCACGACAGTGATGTTAAAATTGCACAGAAGGTCCCAGACACTGATGCTGGGACTAAGTGTTATGGAGGCCTGCACCATGTTGGGTTCCCACAGCATAGCACACACTCTTCTTCTCTAAAAAGGATGCTGTGGGCAGCACACTGTGACCGATGCGAGCGGAAGAAAGCAGCAGCAGGGGAGCAAGAACATTTGTATTACACTAGTCTCCCACCACCACCCCGCCCCTTGTCTTTTTCTTTGAATCCTTTCCATCCCACAATCAGTGCAGAGAGAATGGATGTCATTTCTGTGCAAAACTTTTAAGTGCCCTAGGAGAAGAAAACTAACCAGGACTGACCTCCTGCCCCACAATAATCAGGACAGTTTGTGGGAAAGAAAGATGTGCTCCGTCTCCTGTCTGCAGGGGGAATCACTGGCCCCCACTCCCACCAGGAGCAGATCTTGAGTAGGGGAAGAGGACAGGTCTAAAATTCAAGCGTGTGTGAAAAGGAAACTAAATATTGGCAAGCCTCTGTGTAATAAAGATTTATTACTCAAGATAAACAGGACAGGTGAAGGCTGTTAGTGCACTAACAGGAGGAGGGGCAGAGGATATAACTGACATTCTGCATCACACCCAATTCAGCAGCAGACTTCCTCAGCTGAAAGGCAGCAGCTCAATAGCCGGTAGAAAACCTCTCCCAGCAGCAGCCCTCTCTCCAAACAGGAAGGCATGAGGAACCACTGGACAGGATTTACGTGCAGGGGGAGATGGGAACAGTGCAGAGGAAGTTACTCACTGCAAGTTGGATATTTCAGGAGATGCTGGCCCCAGGTCACAGGCAAAAAGGTGTCGAGCATGGCTTGAGGAGTTTCCTCAAGGTGAAGGGTAGCTGTGCTACCATTCCCCACCCCATAAGCGATGCCTGTTTAAATCAGCGGCACTTGATCCCCACCAGTTAGTCCTCTCCCTCCCCCAAAGCAGATTGAGACACTCACACCCTGAACTAAACCCAGGCTCTGCCTCAACTTAATGAGTTCTAGGGATTCTCTCCCACACCCCTCCCCCCAAATGGACCCTGGGATATTCCCCTGTTCTCCCACTATTTAATTCCAGCGCCCCACCTCTCTGCAGCTCTTCTCTTGGGCTATTGCCCACATGGAATGTAGAGGGGTTCCTTCACCTCCCAGCTCTATGGGGGCCAGTTTAAACTACAGTTTAGAGGTAAAGACTTGAGTATGAAAGGAGCAGCTACCTCTTTTAATGTGGTGCTAGGAGTACAAAGTACATCAGTTCTACAGGGAATAAAAAAAAGTGTTAAACTAGAGAGGCTGCAGCATATGAAGCTACACAGCTGAAAAACCCTTTCCAAGGCAATGGTGCTACTCCCCGCCCCACCAGGCCATTAGCAGGGACTCTCTGTCACAAGTAAAGACCCTTACTGGAATTTTCTATTGAAGGCTTGTTGGACTGAACAAGCTGAACACCTAGCATTGAACACCCGAGTGTTTATGCCTAGCCATTCATTTCGTGCTGCTTCTAGTCTGTTTCATTGCAGAAGGTGACAGCAGGAAATAGTCAAAACTGGAATTTACCATGGGATTTTTTATTTTAAAAACTTACAAAAAAGCCACTTGGGATTTTTCAGCCACTGAATTCCCCAAGTATCCAACTGGTGCAGAGCAGACATACAGCAGCCAGCACAATCTGAGTTTCACTCTCACTACTCGTGGCCTTTCAAGGGTGCAAAAGAAAGTCTATGGTGTTAGAATGGAAAGGCGTAGAGCCACATTGTAACACAAATTGGTGGCAAGGAGAGTTTCCCCTGTAAGGCACTTGCTATCTGGTGTGAGATTCACTGGGAGGGCAGTCACTGTAGAAACAACACAAAAGCTTCCCAGTGGGTGACACAGAAACCACAAAAACTAGACAAACCCCTCAGCACACAACAGCACCTGGTGTTCTAGTTCCAGGCCAGGGAAAGAGCATTGGACAAGACCTGCTGTGCTGAGAACATTTAATAAAGGGTCGGTGGACTTGATGGCTTTTGCTAATTTGTTTGCCTTGTTCCTTTACACAAGACTGGACACAGATCTGATTTAATGAAGGATCCTGCTGTGGAAGGAGGGAGAGAATCTGTTTGATCCATTAATATGCACTTATTTTGGGGTAAAGGAGCTTTCATTCCATTATTGAGCCACTTCACCAAGCCCATCCTGACCCCTCTGTTAGAAGTTGGCACAAGAGTCATTTCCTCTGCTGACCTGCTGTAAGGGTTTCTAAGTCCCTTGGCACCTCCAGAGGAAAAAGCAACAGAGATCTGCAGATCAAGGAGAAATAAGCAGCAAGCATTCAGGAAGTGAACCAAAGCAAGAGGAAAGATAAAAATAGAGAACCATCTAAGTGCATCAGCATTAATCCAGCTTCCAGAGTCTATTAGCCTCTCACTACTCCCTGGAGGAAAATCAACAAGCAGAACACACTTTCAGCAGCACTCAAGTCCCACTGGTCCTCACCAATACAGACGGACACTCCATCCAACCTAATCATGTGCTAATAGCAGATCCACTGTCAGTTAAACAGCTACTTCACCATTATCCCTGCTTCAGTGCATTGCAGCGGATAAAATGATGGCATCACTGTGGCAAGCTATTCCCAACCACAAAGAAACTTCCCATTTTCAGGGCCAGCAGTTCTCCCTTGTAGCAGAAGGGCCTGTGTATGGGTCACAGTCCACCATGGTGTTAAATTCTTAACAGTGTTCTCTAACATGGTCTTGCATTTTGTCACACCAGACCCCGATTCTATAAATTACTCCACCCACTGGTGATTGGGAATAGACAATACTCTGAAGGGAAAGCTATTCAGCCTTCAGAGAGAGTCATGTATTAAGCAGGCAAGGGGAGGGAAGAGAATAAGGCACTTGAGAAAAATGCAGGTTTGACCCCAGACTTCCTTGCTGCCTCAGCAGATATTTGGACACAAATTGAGCCTTTTGGAGCACAAAGGCAGCTTACATTAAGGCTACATTGCATCTGGGAATGAGCGTCCCAACCTGGGTCCACAGACTTGTGCTGGCAGGGCTCAGGCTAATGCTCTAAAAATAGCATGTAGATCATGCTTTGATGTTGCAGCTCAGGGTCTCAAGCCCACCCCGCTGGCCTCAAAGCCTGAGCCACAACATCTACACAGAACCATTTTTAGAGTGCTAGCACAAGCCCCACTACCATGAATCTGAGAATTTGGGCTAGATGGCTCACTTCCACATGCAGTGTAGACATGACCTCAGGGTACACTAAAGAAGGAGTGTTTTTCTTTCTGATATGACTGTACTGACAGGTTTTTAGTAAGGGCTTTTTCTTAGCAATCCAGGCATCTTCTGAAGCCTGCAGTGAAGTCAGTGAATCATGCAACTTGTTCTTTGCCAACAATGATCCTGTCAAGCCACAAAGTTACCTGGAGACACATAGCAGGGTGGAAGCTATTTCCACTGGCTCAGTCTGAATATCCTGGAGTAATCCTGCTGATTTTAGCCAGGTCTCCCCCTCATGGGCTGAGAGAAGACCTCCTACAAAGTGAGACTTTTCTGCACTACATTTCCTTTGACAGCCAAGCCTATGAGAACCAGAGGTCAACATGAAAGCTTCAAACAAACGTAGATCAAAGACAGACTACATGTGCTAAATTGGTTATTGGGCACTTGCTACTCCTTACTGGGTGGCAGATCAATACCTGCCCCATTCCCCACCCATAGGAAGCAGCTCAGCACTCACCTGTCGGATAGACATGGTGCAGAGAATGTAGAGGAAGATGAAGGAGCAGTCAGTGTAATCCTCCCCCAGCAGGTTGCGATGGGACAGGCCCTGGATATAGGAGAGTGGGATAAAAGGAAGTTTTGCCACCACCCGGCCGTCAAATCTGGAAGAGAAGAGATCACTTAATGTGAGACGTCAACCAAGTACCCAGCCTAGAGAAGGGCTTCAGTCTGGGACAGTAATTGGGTCCCTGGATTGCAGAAAAACAGATTAAGTGTTTTAAATTAAACAGGCCTCCAAGAGGACAAAACCAGATGGAAGATCAAGTCAAAAGCCCAGAAAAATGTTGCCCCACTTTCACATGCACAATACTAGAGAGACTAATATATACACACCTGCCATCCTCAAGCCCCTGCATATCAAAGTGGCCTGCCATCCACTGGATGGACTGTGCAGGCTTCCCTCAGCAGATGCTGTGAAATGACAAGGGGTCCCTCCTGGAGGTCAACCTATTAACCATTACTGGTTGGATAAATTGCTGACCAAGGTTTGTGGGACACAAACTAAGAACTTTCTAATCAACATCCTCAAGTACTGACACCTGCTATTTAAAAGCCAAGTGACACATAGGTTTCTCCCAGAGTACTGTAACACTTGAGTCAAGAGACTGAATTACCAGCCTGTTGTAATACAGTTACTTTATGCAGACTGATGGATTTTTGTACTCGAGGTGCGTGCTCAGCTTTCAGAAGACAAAACAAAGTCCAACTCTGTTTTTTTTCCTCTCCAGATTTGCTACATTTATCAGTTACCAAAAGGGATGTGGGCAACCGCCAAGAAGAGAATTCCTTTTCATACAATACTCCTTCTCTGCATTCGCTCTTCAGAAGCAGGGGACATTGTATATTCCCCCAAGGTACCTGTACAGCTCCAGGAGATGGGAAGCATTCAGTACTACATTCCAGAGATGGAGACATGGTGTGAATTTAGACAGACTGAAGAGATTCAGCCTCTGAAACCAGACAGCCAACACTACCCTTTGAAGCAGTGTGCATATCATGCTGCATCAGTGTCTGCTCAGAGTTTGATGTTATTTTCTCCTTGAGTGCTGATTTTCTAACAGGTGTTTCTGGTATCAAGAGCTCCTAAATGAGCATTCTTTCCTGTGGAGAGGCATTCACACAGAGCTATGGTTCTAACATGTGCCGACATCTCACAAGCAGTTTGGCAGTGGGGCTAGGAACGGATGTTTGTCTCCCTGTAACATCCCCAGTGTTTTAGGATTCTATGTTCCCACAGTAGGAGTAACGCAGAGTAGCTCAGAGGTGATACCCTGAGATACCTACCTTCTCTTCTGGCAGGTGACCTAGGTTTTAAGGTACACTCTTGTAGGGAATTCTGTAAGGTTTGATGCTTTAAGCATGGATCAGGACTTATGAGTAAGATGTTAATGTCCAGAGAGAACCAAGGTAACTTCTCTCACTAGATACCCCTATCTGCCTGGATCCCAGTCTAGTATTCATCTGCAGATCGCCCTACTCCTAGCAGACATACGTTTTGCCTGGATCCCACCAACCTACAAAGAGATTGCCCGGAATGAATAATCAGGATCCTGATACTAGATCCTCAACCTGGCATTCTGCTTTTAGTGTTCAAGCCAGCCTTCCTGCACCTGTCCCTCCCATCCCTGTACCGTGTATTACAGCTCCCATTTTCAAACAGCAAGAAAGGGTCTAGTTACCGTTCTCTGTATATATATGTTGCATGTACAAAGCCTCTCTGTAGGAGTCATATGCCTAAATGTATGGCCATTGCTTTTAGGCAGTAGCTGACAGAAGGGGTACATGGCCAACTTACATTCTATTGTCCAAAGGTATACACAGCATGCTCACTCCAGACAACCTATAATCCCTTTCCCCAAAAACTTTAGGCCTTGGGCTCTCCAACAGTGGGGGGAAAAGAAGTGGGTGAATGAAGCAATACACTGACTCTTGTTCCAAGCACAAGCAATCTCCTTTTCTCCTTTCCAACCCTGAATCCAGAGCACCTCTGTAGGTGGCTAGGTAGCCATGACCTCCCAGTAAGTGGCCTGAGGAGCCCAGCTAAACAGTGATTGAACACTGTTCTCCTGCAACCAACATCTCTTCTTGATACCACGTCAAGAGAACAGCAATTGGTGAAGGTGTCAACCAGCTCTCTCCCTCCTCCCCAAACAGCCCTACAGATTTCAGATGAGGGCATGGCACTGACAAGTCACTGAAGCTGCCCTTCACACACAGGTACACTAGCCATCTCATAAGACTGGAAGCACAGTCTTAGCCACTTAGATTGCCATTAAGCCAAAACTGTCAAACCTTTAGATTTTTCTTTAAGTGCCATAGACAGTCTCTTGGAGTTGCTAAAAGGGTTAGTCCTATTTAAATAGTAACGGAGCTCTCTGGACGTCTGGGATGTGACATCTAGGATGTGCAGCTTCACCTTCCTGTGATAGCTTTAGAAAACAGACAGCAACATGCATGATTTAGACAAAGAAAAAAAAAAAGAAGATAATTTTAAAAGTCAAGACTGAGTGAGGCTCAAGTTCTAATGGGCCCATGTGAGTACAGTATAGTGGAATCCGGCGGTAGCAGACTGTACTCCAGAGACTGAGAAGATGGCCCCCAAGAATGAAACTTTCAACGCCACATCAAGAGTCAGTAGGCTCAAAGTTTAATCACAAGCATCAGTAGGTTCTAGGATGGAATGATACATAGTTGTAATAACCTTCAAAAGTAGTTTTAGCAGCTGGACAGACATGGAACCCCTGCACAGAGAGGTGGGGGAGGGGAGGGAGGAAAGAGAGAAGGAGAGAGAGAGAATTGGGACCACAATCCAAGGCCCTCCGTAAAGCAAAGCACACAGAACACAACTGCTTCTGCCAGGTGGATGCAGAACGCTGGCCTTGTAGTGCAGTTTCCAACTATGTATAGGAGGAGCAGCGGGTGGTTCCAGATGGTTGACTGCTTCTCCAATTGTGCTTGTTTGTCTGCACCTCCCAGGGCCTTTTCCTTCCCTAGAGATAAGGGTCTGAACAACCCTCACCCAGAATGAGCTGCTTGTAAGCATAACCTGGGCCCTTCAAAATACGCAGATCCCTACTGAGTGCCTCAGCGAGGGGAATGGTACAAAGTGTATATTTCTGCCTCTCTCTTTGCCCAACATACTGAACTCCCGGTGGATGAACAAGGGCTCCAGCCGAGAGGCACATACTTTGTCCTGCAAGTGCACTGCTGGAGAATTTGGGGCCAAAGTAGACACTATGGAAGGAAGGGTGCTTTTGTTAAAGCTCTATAACGGGGCGGCATAGACCTGTCTGCCTGCTGCTGTGAAGACAAAACGAAATGGCAGACTCTTCAGTGGGGAGGGACCCACCTTTTCATGCTGGTGAGTGACAGATCTGGTTCTGCACCTAAAGCTGCACTATAACTGACCTTAGTACAACAAAGAACTGTCATTGGCAGAACAATTTTAAGTGCTGGCATTTATGCCCAGACCCTAATACAAAGGGCTAGAATTTGCTTCACTTCACCAACAGCAGGAAGTGTCCCTCCTGGCCCCAGACTGAAAGATCCCTTCACATAAATTATTTGTATCACAGAGCACCCACAATATACTAGGTACTGTCTAAATATAGTGAGATTTCCTAACCTGAAGAGCGCACATCTGAGACAAGCTGCATTCACCCTTCCCAAAGTACATCAAGTATCCCCCTCAGTGGCTCTTGATGCAGCCTTTAAGTTTCATATAAGCATCATGGCAGAATTGGGACTTGAGGAGGGACTGGAAAGTGTCTTTATGGTCCAGTTCAGAGAGGGTGTTCCATACAAAGGGCTGCACAGAAGAAACCACAAAGATGGTTGTGGGATAGGTGGACAAATAAGGAACTGAGGATGGCATTACTGGTGATGGGGAAGGTGACAACACGAGCAAATAAGCAGGGCGGGGGAGATTTGTTTGAATGACCAGTTAAGTTTGAGACATCCACAAATTCAGAGGCCAACCATGGGACTACTGTCACAATCATTGTGGACAAAAATCCCCCAGCATTTTGTTTGTTTGTTTGTTTTTGGGGGTATTCTGACAGTATTATTTAGACATATAACCATATGAAAAGTAGAGCTTATATAAATACCCTAGTCAATTCCAAAATCTTTTCTTCTTTAAACATCTCAGCTTCTGAAGAAAAAAACAACAACAACAACAAAAAACAGCCAGTACTGCTTTAGAAAGCAATGAAGCAGCCGATGCAGATGCGATAGAAAGGTCTGAAGACTGTGGAAGGCTGCCTGATCTCTGCAAAGCTATTCTGAATTAGCCAGACTTTCATCCTGGTCATATATTCCAGAACAGCAAGCATGCTCAGTTGTGGCTAAAGTGCAGCTTAGAGAATCCCTGCATGCAATGCTCCATGCTGAGCTGAGCAGAAGCAATGCGCGCTGTGACCTCCATATCGAAGATGAGGAGAGCTGCAGTTTGATCCATTTTATACAAATTAGGTGCAGTTCTCAGTGGGACCCCATGAACATCAGTAGAATGAGTCCAAGTAGCAAAGGAGAGAGGGGATGGGATACATTCACTTTGAAGGCTCGGAGGGTGGGGGGAGGAGGGGCAGAGAGAGTTGATACTTACATAGAGTTGAACATGCCCATGAGGGCAGTAAAGCAAAAGCCAATTGCAAACATGGACTTCATTCGAACCTGCAACCAGAGAGGTCTGAGTCATTCATTATTGACAGCTAATGCAGAGAGAAACAAACAGATTAAAAATAAAGGCAAGTCCCACAGTTAGGGCTTGAGGGCTTTAATGCTGAGTAATGGGTTTTGTGCAGCATCGTCAGGATCAGAAGAGAAGGCAATCTTTCAGCTCACTCTCTCAGCTTGTAGGAGAGGAGACCAGGCAGAAAACTCTTAGAAGGGTTGAATAGCGACAAGTACTGGAACAGCCATGAGAGGGATCATAGGGGCGAAGAGCCTGTGGAGGAAAGGGAGTGCTCAGGGCTGTCCTGTTAACCAAGAGGTTGACCACTCAAAGAAAGGGGAGTCCACAGGAACTGTGAGGAGGGAAGGGAAACAACAAATGCAGTGGGCTCACTAGGAAGATGGGGTGGGTAAGTGGAAAGTCAGGAAAACTGCTTTTATTTTGGAAGCACTAGAGAGATTGTGGGGGTGGAGGGGAATGAGAATTAATGAAGCTATGTGTGGAGTGAAGGGGCGACTAGTGTAGAACTCAGAGCCACACTGTAGCTTGCAGATGTCAGAAGTGCAGCCCATGGAGATATGTGAATATGAGCACCTACGATCTGTGCTTTAGAATATAGAAATTAAAGGTGATTCTTCACCTCCTGGAGAGCTCAAGATCTAGCCCTTCACTAGTTTGGGCATTGCCCCTAATTTACAACATTCTTACCATCGACAGGTCCCTGTTGTTGTTTTTCAGCTTCTCCTCTTGCCTCTCTGTAAAGCAGGAAAGAGAATAGAGGTTATACCAACCCAGACCCCAGAATGATTTCACTTTCAAGTCTAAACCTTCCTTGCTATCCAAGCCAGTAATAGTTCCAAGACAGATTCCAGATCTGTATGCCAGATGTTACAGTGTGAAAACTGCACACAGCCAACTGTCCTTGAATCGGAACAACATGCAGCAGAACAAGTATATGAGGTTTGTCAACATTCAAAGGCAATGCACAACAACTCAGACAATGGGCATGATGACATACAGACATGTCAACTGGAAAATCAAATAGTGCTTGTAAAAATCAGGTAGTGTCAGCATATTTTATTCTGGAAGTAGTGTTGTTCTAAGAATGTTATTTGCACATCAAATCTTATTAAGGCAGTGGTTTTCAAACTGCGGGTCGCAACCCAGTACTGGGTCACGGAATGCAAGGCACTGGGTCACAGCGGCTCTGGTCAGCACCACCAACCAGGCCATTAAAAGTCCCATCAGCAGTGCTGCCCGGCTAAGGCAGGCTAGTCCTTACCTGTTCTGACACCGCGCTGTGCGCCGGAAGCACCCAGCAGCAGGTCCAGCTCCTAGGCGCGGGAGGCCACAGGGCTTCACACACTGCCCCCTCCCCCTGAACACCGGTTCCGCAGTCTCATTGGCTGGGAACCAGCCAATGGGATCTGGGGTAGGGTGGTGCCTGTGGGCAAGAGCTGCGCAGAGCCGGACCTGCTGCTGGCCACTTCCGGGACACAGTGCGGTCCTTGGTGCCAGGACAGGCAGGAAGCCTGCCTTGGCACCCCTGCTGCACCGCTGACCGGGAGCCACCCGAGGGGAGCCCACCCCACAACCCAATCCTTTGCCCCAGCCCTGAACCCCCCCACCCCCAAACCCGGAGCCCCTGCCTGCACACCAAACCCCTTATCCCCGGCCCCAGCCCAGAGCCTGAACCCCCAGCCCAGAGCCTGCACCCCCTCCAGCATCCTGCCCTGAGGCCCCCCCCAAACCTGGAGCCCCTTCCTGTATCCCAAGCCCCTCATCCCAAGCCCCACCCGAGCCTGCACTCCCAGCCCAGAGCCCTGACCCCCTTCTGCATTCCAACCTCCTGCCCCAGCCCTGAGCCTCCCCAAACCCAGAGCCCCCTCCTGCATCCCAAACCCCTCATTCCTGGCCCCACCCCAAAGCCTGCACCCCCAGCCCCAGAACGCTGATTCCCTCCCACAGCCCAACCCCCTGCCCTAGCCCTGAGCCTCCCCAAACCTGGAGCCCCCTCCTGCACCCTAAACCCCTCATCCTCAGCCTCACCCTGCAGCCCTCACCTCTGCACCGGCCCTGAGCCCCTCCCACACCCCAAACTTCTCGTCCCCAGCTCTGTTGGGTCACAGGCATCAACAGTTTTCTTCCACTGGGTCACCAGAAAAAAAGTTTGAAAACCACTGCTGTAAGGAAATGCACTACATATGTTAACTCATACTTCACTACAGAGGTGTCTGTAGGGATTCCAAGGTCAGATCACCAAAGCTGCACTTAAAGTAGGACAAAAATCCTACTGTTTCACACTTCAAAAGCCTAAGGAACCATTCATACAAAGATTGGATTTTCTATGCAATATTTAACTAAAATATGTATACTAGCTTTTGAACAGAACACTTTAGGATACTCCTTTTGGAAACATTGCGCTGCGTTGCCCGTGCCATTTCAGTCACCACAAACTCCAAGTTTCACACATCCTGATAACATCTCACGTAAAGGCCACTTTAACTTCTTTAAAAAAAAATTGTTTTTATTTCCCTTATTCAGGAGTGCTGTTTTGTGCTACGTCAAGGTCAGCCAATGGAACTGTCATGTTCCATCTGCTATTTCCACTGCCCCATCTCGCTAGTCCTGATCCTCTGAGTGGCTAAAGATCCAGAGGCAGCCTGGAAAAGCCACAGATATGGGGTTGAATAGGAATGTGGAAAACTACAAGAGATATTGGAAAGGGAATGTGAGTGAGGCCTGGGGAAGTAGTCTGTGGCAGTGCAAGGTGTCTGGGAGTCCAGCATCTCTATATTGGGGTATCAACACAACACGTGGGCCCTAAAGCACTGTTGCTGTGAGACAGTAGCACCAGGAGAGTCCTTCAAACACCAAAATTATAAGCAGCTGAATATAGAGGGTTACAATGGGAAGTGTTTGGTGAAGCAATAGTAACTCTTCTAACCCTCCCCTCCCTGTTTCTCATAACTAGAAATAACAATATTCAAATAAAAAAAAATTTGACACACAATATTGATGTTTATTTTTAAGCTTTTTAGATTCAACCATTTAAATGTTCAGTTGGGGGGTGGGGTATCAGACAATTATGACTAGACACAGATTCAAAAAGTTAATTCTTTATAACTATTAAAACAGTCAACATCACGTGTGAAAATATACAAAATAAATATCCTTGAATCCACAAATGATCTCTCTTTTTATTATTCATTCACAAGACCATGTGTAAGAAGCCTAATTCAAAAGTCTAAATCGGTGGATTTTGACTCTAATAAAGGTCTCAAGAAGCATTTTTCTTACTTTGCCGATCTAAACTTCAATCATAGATGGAAATATTTTTTCATCAGTTTGTGTGTACAATGAAATTGACATTTACAAACATTTACCAGTAAATATCTAATCCTTCCAAGCCCACTTATAACTTTATCAAACAAACCATTTAGGCTAGAATTTCCCAGGCTTGCTTTAGGACTCCAGTTAACACTTCACTAGCTCAAAAGGGCATTGTAAAAATAACTTCATTAGTGCTAGTGAGGCACTCATACTCAAGTGATGAATAGGTGAGAAGTCCAAAGGGAAATAAGGCATTCCTTGGTCACAGTAGGGTTTGGATAGTTAGCTGTAAATAAGGTGCGAGTCCATACTGAATAATGAGGATAAGAAGGAATAGCAAAAAGCTTCCTCTTTCACTAAGCACCTTCCATCCTATGCACTGAATTTCCCACTGATTCTGTGGGAAAGAGATGTGCTTGTGTAATTAAGGCCTGTATCATAATGCACACGTGAAAAGGAAAGGAATTAAGGCTCTGCACCTAGGAGAAGTCCAGAGATCACAAGTTTTATATGTAGGAAAGGCTATTTTAAATCATTTATAGCTATTCTGGGCCTTGTACAGAACTGATGATAAGGAAGACACCTGGCTTTACAGGAAGAGGGACGAAAATACAGTCCCAATAAGTTTTGTATCTGGCTAGGATGTTACTGATAAGTTTTCTGTAACAATTCAACTGGTTGCTCTGCATCACTCACTCATGGCTTTAACATTTGAGAGTAATGTGGCCATTCTAAACACATTTTCTCTCACATATCCCCAGACAAAACATTATGTTGAACTGGAGTTAAGGAGTATACATCAGTAACTTAAAGGAAAAGACACGTTAAAGGAATGTTGTAATTATCCCCAAAACAAATGCTACAAACGCAACTGAGGCCAAGTTTGAAAGAAATCTGACCACATTTAGATATAAAGATGCCGTTACGACACCCATACACCCTTCACTCCATCCTACAGTCATGCTATGAGGAAAAAATGAAAAATCTAACCTCTAAAAAGATAGGTTTCATCCAATCTGGGACCACAAACGCTAACATGTATTCCGATAGTCCCACAGTTATTGCATTGCGATAAAGCATTGCAGCAATGAGCTCTCAGGGATAACATCTGGAAAGAGTTAAGGCTAAAAGACTACTTGGTCTGGGTCCATGTGACCAGTCCCACTTATGCAGCAGCAGGCACTGGAATCCCAGTGCCACCGGGTTTGCCTAAAGTCAATCTAGAAAGGAAGAGGCTAGTTCCCTTGAAATAGGCTCCAACAGTCCACAGGGAAGAAGAGAAAGTCACATTCTAGCCATCCCATCAAGAACAAAGTCTCCTCCCATCCCCAAATAAAGTGTTAAAGTTTTAAGGGGGAGTGGGGGGTGGAAGGAAAGGGAAAGTCACCTTGTCACGGAGTATTGGGGGACTCAGGGCCCTGCACCCCCGGCTTCCTGCGATTCACCATGACTCTCAGCCAGCCAGTAAAGCAGAAGGTTTATTTGGCTGACGGGAATACAGTCCAAGACAGGTCTTGCAGGCACAGACAGCAGGACCCCCTCAGTTAAGTCCAGCTTGGGGTCCCAGGGCATCCCAGCCCACCCCCCTTTGGGGGGGTCAGAGCCATCTCTGCCTCCCAGCCATCTCCCCAGCTCGCTTCCCGCACTCTGCCTTCAGCCACCCCTCCCACAGCCTTTTCAGTTTCCCGGGCCCGGAGTCACACGGCCTCCAACCCCTTCCTGGGTTCTCATGTTACAAGCTCAGGTATGTTCCCTCGGGCAGATTCCCATCCCCCGATGGGGACCATCCTAGCCACACTCCCCTGTCAGCATTCACACACCCCAGTAAGAACAGACCCAGTTCGTCACACACCTCCAGCAGCTTCTTCTCACAGCCCCCCCCGCTCACTTTTGGAGCATCACACCTCCCCCCTCCCCAAATCTTACCTATTTTCTTTTTTTGCTGTCGGCCTGCTGATTCAGTTATCGTTTCCTTCTTCTTTTCCACTACAAAGGGCAAAGACAACATAGAATCACTTTCACACAAACAATGAAAAGTTATGCTACTAATCCCTTCTCTTTTCCTCTCCCTTACACCCAAAACCCTCATGCAGACAAGAGGAGGAGGAAGGAAGCAAGATACAGATATATGTCTATGATATATGTTCAATGTCTTATAACCTGCCAGAGCTGGACTAATACAAATATTTACAAGACCAGGAATATTTTCCAGGCCCTGATCCTAGATGAGGAAAAGAACAATTTCAATCCCTGTCAAAAGCCAGACTTTTAAAGCCTGCCAAAGGAGCCCATTACACTGTGAACCAAGGAGCTTGAGTATCATTTTGGTTTAAACAGACCTTGCTGATTTGTCATTATGAATTCTAGACAGTACTTTCAATTCAACAAGTGTGATGAAACAAGCTTTATGGGAAACTCTGACCCTAGCTATCTGCAGTGGGAAGCAGAACACAGAAAGGCCTGTGTTCTATTATATCCCTTCTTCACACGCAGGCATTCTCAGTGGAAGTGCTGCGCCAGCAGTCTGGCACAGCCAGCTCCATTCTTGCTGGTCATCCAATTAGGACTGAAATATTTCCAATATTTTGAAGTTAAAATTAAGTAACAAGTCTAAACTTAGTTATCAAAGCTACCAGAAAACCAAGACAGACAACCAATCCAGACAGTAGACACTCCACAGATTGCTCCAAGCAAAGCCAGATAGTCACAAGCCAGAGTGCTGATCAGTTGAGACTGTGATCCAGCAACTATACTTTTCAATCTGCAAATGGAATCACCTCCAATAGTAGAGAAATTTGATTGACATTCCCAGAAAGTGAAAGCCAAGTTTTAGTTTCAGGTTTACATAGCCAATATCACAATACGAAAATGGGATGATAAATGTTAAAGTATGGTTATGATAAGATAAGTGATATGGATCGCCTTTTTCAATGGCACATCTGTATATCTACTTTACCAACAAACCTATTTTCACTCCTGTTGTCCCATTGTGTCAGTGCTGAAGACTTCTGTCTCACATATTAGTATATCAGTTCAGTTTTAATGGCAGAACTTTTAATCCTTGTGATGACCAAGACAGAAAGACTACAGCTAAATTTCAAGATCACAGGAGAATTTGTGGTGCTAACAGATAAAATTCTTATGACTCATAAGCCGACCTTGCACAATTGTCAGAAAATGAACAGCCCAGGCACAAACCTACTCATCTGCTTTTACCACAATGCTTCTGATGAAAAGGTTATTGGTGAAGTTTACTTATCCATAAACTAAATCACACACCTCAAGCAAGCAGGCCAGTAGGATTAAGCAAGGGTGACATAAACTGAGCAAGTTTGCTCAGAAAGGTCACTAGGGGTAAATAAAGTGGCACAACATCATTTTTATTCTCACTATAACCACGCTTCAGTCTTGCAACTTCTTCCCTTGCCAGATAACAATCAGACATCTATCCTGAAACTTTCAAACTCACTGAGTTTTGAGACATGGCTGTGCCATATACCACGAGTATGTTTTTGTTGAGAGATTAAATTATAAACACTCCCCCAATCTAACTGCCCTAGTTTATTCACTTTCAAGACCCATTTGTTTTCTGTAGCTGTGATAGAATGGCAAGGCTCTGGCAGAGGAGCCTAGTGATCTTATCCATGGTGGGTTGTTTTTTTTTGGCTGTTTTATTGGTTGTTGCTGTGGGTACATTGACAAATGGTTGAAAGGTGTGGCAGGAGTGGTCTATTTTACAGTTGTATATTTAAGAATTGCCAAAGGACAGATAAGTGCTCCTTTTAAAATGGATATGTGGATAAATTATGATTAATAAATGCTAATCAAATTTGAAATTGTAACTAATATTTGTTATTCTCAGCTCTGCCACTCAAGCTCAAACTCACAAGCATTAACGTTAGCAATTATTGCTGGTGTATGCACCTCACATCTGGCTCTTTGTGGAAACACAAACCAGAGATAGGAGGAATTACAAAATAATCAGAGTAAAGTCTCTACAGCAGGGGTGGCCAACCTGAGCCTGAGAAGGAGCCAGAATTTACCAACGTACATTGCCAAAGAGCCACAGTAACATGTCAGCAGCCCCGTATCAGGTCCACACACCCTTCTCCCCCTACTCCCAGCATCTCCTGCCCACCGGCAGCCCCGCCAATCTGCGCCTCCCCTTCCTTCGCCGCACCTCCTGATTAACTGTTTCATGTTGTGCAGGAGGCTCTGGGGTGGGGAGGGGTAGGTGCGAGGGCAGGGCAGGCTCAGGGGAGGGGGCGGGAAGGGATGGGGTCAGGGTCTGTAACAGAGCCAGAGGTTGAGCAGTGAAGTCCCCCCGGCATATTGGAAAGTTGGCACCTATACAAGGAGCCACATATTAATTTCTGAGGAGCCGCATGTGGCTCCAGAGCCACAGGTTGGCCACCCCTGCTCTACAGCAATCATTAAACAGCAGAGATTAATCTATACCAGCTGCTTATAAGTTCTACAGCACTCAAATGAGTAGCACATTATCTCTAAACCCGGGCTGGGCAAACTAGGGCCTGCGGGCCACATCCGACCCATCATACCTTTTAATCCAGCCCTCAGCTCCCGCTGGGGAGCAGGGTCGGGGGCTTGCTCCACTCCGGCGCTGCAGCAAGGGAACAGGGTCGGGGGCTTGCCTCGCTCCGTGGGGCTTCCGGGAAGCAGCCGGCATGACCCCTTGCCAGCTCCTATGTAGTATGAGGAGGCACGGCCAGGCGGCTCTGCACTCTGTCCCATCCGCAGGCGCCACCCCTGCAGCTTCCATTGGGCTGGCTGTGCCTCTGCATAGGAGCCGGAGGGGTGACATGCTTCCTGGAGCTGCTTGAGGTAAGCACTGCCCAGAGCCTGCACCCAAGAGCCTACCCCACCACCCCCAGCCTCAGCCCCGATCCTCCTCCCACCTCCCAAACCCCTTGGTCCCAGCCTGGAGCACCCTCCTGCACCCCACCCCAGAGCCCGCACCCCCAGCCAGAACCCTGACACACACACACAGTTCCCCAACCCCAGTCCTGATCCCCTTCTTGGCCTCCAAATTCCTCGGTCTCAGCCTGGAGCATCCTCCTACACCCCAAACTCCTCATCCCCAGCCTCACCCCAGAGCCTGCACCCACAGCCAGAGCCCTCAACCCCCCCAACCCAAGCCCCTGCCCCAGCCCCCTCCCGCACCATGAACTCCTCATTTCTGGCCCCACTCCAGAGCCTGCACCCCCAGCCGGAACCCTCACCCCTCCCACACCCCTACTCCCAATTTCGTGAGCATTCATGGGCCGCCATACAATTTCCATACCCCGATGTGGTCCTCAGGCCAAAATGTTTGCTCACTCCTGCTCTAAACCCTCTGCTGGGGTTTCAGTTGCTTTCATAACTTATACTAGTAGGTTTTAGACTTAGCTACTCTGCGCTGTCTTATATGCCTGGAAAAAGTATGGATTGGATGAATGGACTATAAGGTGGATAGGAAGCTGGCTAGATTGTTGGGCTCAACGGGTAGCGATCAACGGTTCAATGTCTTACTGGCAGCTGGTATCCAGCGGAGTGCCCCAGGGGTTGGCCCTGGGGCCGGTTTTGTTCAACATCTTTATTAATGATCTGGATGATGGATTGCACCCTCAGCAAGTTTGCAGATGACACTAAGATGGGGGCGGGAGAGGTAGATACGCTGGGAGGGTAGGGATAGGGTCCAGAGTGACCTAGACAAATTGGAGGATTGGGCTAAAAGAAATCTGATGAGGTTCAACAAAGACAAGTGCAGAGTCCTGCACTTAGGATGGAAGAATCCCATGCACTGCTACAGGCTGGGGACTGACTGGCTAAGCAGCACTTCTGCAGAAAAGGACCTGGCGATTACAGTGGAAGAGAAGCTGGATATGAGTCAGCAGTGTGCCTTGTTGCCAAGAAGGCTAACGGGATATTGGGCTGCATTAGTAGGTGCATTGCCAGCAGATGGAGGGAAGTGATTATTCCCCTCTATTCAGCACTGGTGAGGCCACATCTGGAGGACTGCGTCCAGTTTTGGGCCACCCACTACAGAAAAGATGTGGACAAATTGGAGAGAGTCGAGGGGAGGGGCTCGGGAACATGACTTACGAGGAGAGGCTGAGGGAACTGGGCTTGTTTAGTCTGCAGAAATTAAGAGTGAGGGGGGATTTGATAGCAGCCTTCAACTACCTAAAGAGGGGTTTCAAAGAGGATGGAGCTCGGCTGTTCTCAGTGGTGGCAGATGACAGAACAAGGAACAATGGTCTCAAGTTGCAGTGGGGGAGGTCTCGGTTGGGTATTAGGAAACACTATTTCACTAGGAGGGTGGTGAAGCCCTGGAATGGATTACCTAGGGAGGTGGTGGTATCTCCATCCTTAGAGGTTTTTAAGGCCCACCTTGACAAAGCCCTGGGTGGGATGATTTAGTTGGCTTGGTCCTGCTTTGAGCAGGGGGTTGGACTACATGACCTCCTGAGGTCTCTTCCAATCCTAATCTTCTATGACTATGATTCCAACTGGTCTTCTCCTGAAGGCTCAGAAGAGAGGGAGACAGAAGCCAAGCCGATCTTCTGTCGAGCTGTCACTTGCTTAAATCCCTTACTTCACTTATTTCTATTGATGCTTTTGCGCTCCACTTTTACCTTATACCATAGATCTTCCAACTCTTCCTCCACCTCTCTATCTTCTTCCCCCTTTGCTCTTTTTACTGCACTGTACTCCCTCCACCCTTCTCCAAGTCCTTTCAGGATCATTTTATATAGAGAGGTTGTACTTAAACTGGTGCAATCAGTTTAAAAAACAGTTTAAACTCATGCAACTTCTGTATGTGTATGTATAAGGTCTTCTTTCTTCCCTCACTTTTTTTCCTCCCACCACAAAAATCATCCTCCCTCATTCTCCTCTGGCACCTTTAATCTCACTCCTTATCTATTCCTCCCTAGACTCTCATACCATTCAACCAACCACAATTCTTCCTCTTTTCAATAACGCCTCCTGTTCTTTCCTCCCCAGATCTGGGGTCCCTCTTGAAAAGCACAGGCAGGATCCCTGAGCTCACCTCAGTGCAGCTGGTGGAATCTATATACATAACCACTGGCTAACCGTGCTAAGGAAAGAGAGGCTTACACCCATCTCTGTCCCCCCCATTATTCAGTGTAAGTTAGGTAGGGGGTGGAATTAACATCAGGACAGGTCTCAGTACTAACCCTTCTCCTTCCAGTGAAGGACAAAAAAGGATAAAGCTAGGGGCTCGCTCCCTCAGACCAGAATGGAAGTAGTCATGTTTATAGCTCCCAAATATTCTATGGTGAGGTAGGGACCCTCGGGAGCAAACAGAAGGCACCTCTTGCCAAGAGCAGACCCTACTTTGAAAAATCCTGGAGCAGAAAACGATGAGAAGACAAGAACAGCCATAGTATGTATGGTGTTTGAAAGGCAACACTTACATTTTTTGCTTTGTTTTTCCACTTCAGCTTTCAGTCTCTTGTATTTCTCTGTTCTGTAAACCAGCACCCATGTTATACCTGAAACAAGCATCAGATAAAATAAGGGGACAATGACTTTCTATACAGCGCTATTGCAACTGCCCCAGGGCTGCTGCAATATTTAGATGTGGGTACCTTAACAAGGAGAAAGAAACCCAGAGAACAGCAACATACAGTAAGCAGAGGGCTGTCTTTGTCAAGGAAGCATTAGATGCACTGAATGGCACAGACACCTCTGTGGGAAGCAGACCTCATATCTCCCAGCACTTTTATTGCTGAAAGTTATTTACCTCAGAAATCTATAGAAATAGATACACACAACTGAGGCTGTGGAGTCATTTTCACTCTGTCCAGGCACGATATGTACACAGTCCCCATCACCAGAGCCCTTAAACACCTGTAATGCATTTCTCCTCACAACCGCCCGCGAAGGGCTATTGTCCCCCATTGCAGATAATGGCGAACTGGGGCACAGAGTCACCCACGGTCGCTGTGACAGAGCCAGGCCTGGCCCTTGGCCTCAGGGCTATCGCGCTCGGGGACCCAGGCCGGAGCCCCACTATGGGCTCTTTAGGTGACCAGAGAGGAGCCCCTCCCCTCTGCGCCCCCGGAGCCCCACTCGCAGCCTGCCTGCTCCTGAACCGGGAAGGGGCTGGCTCGGAGGCTGCTCACCGGGTTACGCCTGGCCGGCGCCCTCTCCCTACTGGAACACGCCGGGGGCCAAGGAGACCGCCCGGCAGCCCGGCCACCCCAGCGCAGGCCGCGAGCCCGCTTACCCTCGGCCAGCAGCGCCGTGCACACCGAGATGAAGACGATGAGGACAGTATCGGCGAACATAGTGCTCATGGTGCCCCCAAACCCGGAAGAGACTCCCGTCGCACACACGACTAGACCGGAAGCTACAAAAGGTCCGACTAGCAGCCTAGCAACTGGCTCCACTCTCCGGAAGTGATGTTATTCAGATTTCCGGCAACAAGGCGCACCGCCAAACGGAAATCCCGCCTACAAGTAAAGGGCGGGAAGAGCTGCTAGTTGGGCGAGCAGCCTGCCAATAGTGACGTTAAATTCACCTCGCGCCAGGGACCGCTCAGTGCCTCAAGCTGGAACCAGCCTCCCCCTCATGGGGCTTTTCTCGCAGCCCGTGGGTCAGAGGGCGCCGGACCACAGCGTGCCTAGCGCCAGGCTGGTCTGAGTGCCCGGTCGGGCCGCGGCGTCCCCCTCAGCCTGTGGGGGTGCGGAGCCGGGCCCAGCTCGCAGCGGTGTTGCGAGCCCCGCCTGGCGCCCGCGACGTGTTACCAGCGCCAGGCCCTGGCGAGTGCCGGGCCCCTCCCCCCTCCGGCCCTGGCGAGTGCCGAGCTCCTCCCCGGCCCTGCTGTAGATAAATCCCGGGCAGCCCCTCTCGCAAAGGCGGGGGGTCCTCCCCAAAGCCCTGTCTGGAGGAGCCCGTCCCGCGCTGATGCCATTGTTGGCGGGCGGGTGCTTCCCGGGACCCGCCCCGCTGGCAGGCAGTGCGGAGAGCCCCCGGGCTGTCGCAACCCAGGAGAGCCCAGTGCTGCCTTAGGTACGTGCATGGCCCCCCGTCAGCTGAGCGCCTCCCAGTGTCACTAATCTCACTTAATAGATGGGGAACCCAGGCACAGAGGGGCTACGTGACTTATACCAGGGAGCCCGTGCAAATCAGAGGTCTCCTCAGTATGGAGCAAACCATTGGCCCATGCTTCCTCCTCTAGGACTGAATGCCTTATTAGTCCCCGGATTATTTTGGGTGAAAATCAGGGAAACGTTTCCCGGATTATCTTGGGTGAAAATCAGGGAAACGTTTCCACCGTGACGCAGTCTTAGAAATAGATAATAAATATCCAGTACATAGTCCTTCAACGAGGGATTGTTGCCTGCCTTACATTTTGTATTGGACAGTCTAATTTTAAGTGTCTGGAACAATGTGGCTTCCCAGACTTCTGTTAAGAGACTCCACCAAAGTCTTTCAGCATAATTTTTCTCTTTCCTAATTTCATCCCATTACTTCTACACGTATCCCCCTTAGTTCTCTCTTAGTGGCCATGGAATAACCTTATTTCTTTATGCCTCTTCTTATGAACCAATCCCTCCAGCTCCCTAGTCATTTTTGTTGATTTCTCTAAATTTCCTCCAGTTTTGTCAATATCTTTTTGGTAATTTGTTCTTCAAAAAAATACTTTATTTCAGGTATGATCACATTAGAGCTGTAGTTTACCTTGCTGTGAAATGATTACCCTGTGCATTTTTACTGGCCTTTCTACAGCTGTGTCCTTTTGCAAACTTGTATCTAATTTGCTCTTATCTTCTATCTTTTTTCCAATTTTTTTCTTCCTTTTAGGTAAGGTTTTGGATTATTATTCCCCAGGTGTGTTAGTCTGCATTTTTTTTAAATTGAATCTCATGTTATTGGTTTATTTCTTTATATTTACCCTCTTTAAGGGCCTGACCCAAAGGCCACTGAAGTCAATGTCAAGGTGGATTAAGTGGGGTTTGATTCAGACCTTAGGTTCCTTTTCATTATTTTCTCTGCGATCACTGGTATTCACAGTTCCTTCCACCTCAATGTCATCTGTGACATCATTCTCTTTACTCTCTCCTCCAGATCATTAATGAAGGTATTAAATAAGACTGGACCCAACACTGACTTGTTAAAATCCCCCCCATAGCTCAATACATTGCTATTACCCTTTGTTTATGGTCCTTAAGCCAGTTTTCAGTCCACATGATAAAGTTCCTATTCAAGCCAATTTGAAGTAATTTCAAGAGTGATTCATAAGACAGTATCACATGCTTTAGTAAAAGTCAAATATAGTATATCTACTTCATCCACTAACTATGGGCTAGAGGGGTCGGCAACCTTTCAGAAATGGTGTGCCGAGTCTTCGTTTATTCACTCTGATCTAAGGTTTCAAATGCCAGTAATACATCTTAACGTTTTTAGAAGGTCTCTTTCTATAAGTCTATAATATATAACTAAACTATTGTTGTATGTAAAGTAAATAAGGTTTTTAAAATGTTTAAGAAGCTTCATTTAAAATTAAATTAAAATGCAGAGGCCCCTGGACTGGTGGCCAGGACCCGGGCAGTGTGAGTGCCACTGAAAATCAGCTCGTGTGCTGCCTTCGGCACATGTGCCATAGGTTGTCTACCCCTGGGCTAGATTGTGACTTGAAGTATGCACTAGCACAGTGGCATGAGGGGGAGACTCCCCTTTCACCCTGCAGAAGCTACCTGGAACTTAAGTGTGCAAAAGTAAACAGGTGCGGTGGTGCCCGTTTACTCATTCTTTGGAGTGAGTGGGCAGAGAAGAGTAGGGAATATTGGAGCCTTGAGTCTGCCTCCCCATGTGCTGGCCAGCACATCTGAGCCAGTGAGGGCTAAGGCTTCTGGCATAGGCTACCAGTAGATTACTACTCTTGTGCAAGAGGGGAACCAAGAGAAAGTGGTGCTTCCAAGAGATATCTCAGAGTCACCTTTCCTCCTGAGGCTGCTTCTGGAGTCATGCAGTTTATGCATTGACCCTCGCCCAGGACTGTGTCATAAAGTACAATCTAGCCCTTTGGGTCTGGTGATTCCACCACCCTTATTCATGCTGTGTGATAGGCCCACTGAAATCATTTCTACTACTTGCAGAGTCTGGTACTTCACACCATGAGTAAGGGTAGCAGAATCTGGCCCTAAATAAGGCCATGTCTACATTATGGGTGCTTTAGTGGCCTAGGGCTTGTCTACACTTGAAACAGCACAGCTGCAGTGCTTCAGTGTTGACACTACCCCCTACACCAATGGGAGACGTTCTCTCGTCAGCATAGGTAATCAACTTCCCTGAGAGGTGGTAGACTGGGTTGACAGAATTCTTCTGTTGACCTAGCGCTGTCTGCCCTAGGGTTTAAGTCGGCTTAACTACGTCGCTCAGGGTGTGTATTTTTTATATCCCTGAGGTAGATAGTTAGGTCAATGTAACTTTTTAGTGTAGACCAGGCCATACATAGCTACAGTGCCATAGCTATGCCTCAGTAACCCCATAGCATAAATGCAAACTGCAGTGATGGAAGGGATTTTTCCATCGTTGTAGGAACTCAACCTTCCTGAACGAAGGTAGGTAGGACAACGGAAGCTTTCTTCCATCCACCTAACTGCGTCTACATTGAGGGTTAAGTGATGGGTTTTTCACATCCCTGAGCACTGTAGTTATGTTGGCCTAAGTTGTAAGCATAGACCAGGCCTAATACTCTTGTGGGCTGGGCAGAACATCATTGAAACTGATGCATGAAGCAGCAGTCCTTCATTCAGAATAAATGTTAGAAACAATAGGGGCCTCAAACCAGAACACAAGCACACACATGTGAGTCTGCTCAGGACTTAGAATGATGTGGGCAGAGGGATCTTGTTGGGTATTGTTTGGTGGAGTTATGTGTGTGGGAGAGAGAAGGGAACAGGGAGAAACACCAGAGAAGCAGAGAGAAGGCAGCAAGGAAGCTCCAGAGTCCAGACAAGCACAGTGTGTGGCCCTGAGAAAAGCCTAGAAAGAGTTTTCAAGGTGGGTGCTGCCAAAAAGAATCTTGAAGCTGTGAGCAAAGCTGTTGTTTGATTCCTGCTGTGTCTGGGAAACATGACTTTGTACATTCTTTGTAAATAAACAGGATTACATCAAAGAAATACCTGACCCCATCCTAGTGGAAAAAACCTGCAGGGCCCCAAACTTTGGCCAACCACTCATGTCAAAAGGGGTAACAATACTATCAAAACAAAGGCATCAAAGTTTAGGCCAGATTGTGGCCCATCCTGCAAAAGGGAATAAGGGAGCAAAAAGTACTCCCTTGCTTCCCTGCATCAGCTTCCCATTTTCAAGGGGCTGTTATACCTTCCCTCTGCATGCATGGGCAGGAAGAGATGGGGAATAGGCAACCTTAGCACCACTGCTTAGTGTTGGGGGATGTATAGGTATAAAGTTGGGGCAGGGTATGTCCCCCTCCCTTCACCTGGAGCTGAGGGGACTAGTAGGCACATTGGCCCATATCCTCAAAGGTAATTAGATGCCTAACTCCCATTGAAATCAATTGGAATCAGGCAGTTAAATACTTAGAGGATCTCGAGTCTCGGCCATTTTGACTTCCTCAGTCACAGTCTGCTTCCTGATGTGCTCTTAGGGTAACACAATGCATGGGCCCATATGTGGAGCTTATGCAAAGCCACAATTGACCCCTTTTGATTTGCAATATCTGTGCTTTATAACTCCAGCTGTTTATTGACAATGATCAGGTTTTTTTCCTCTTAATATTTGCTCCATTATTCTCATAAGAATAAACATTACATTTAAGGGATCCTTTCATTTTTTGAACACTGCTATTACATTTACTTTCATCCAGTCTTTCAGTACCTCCTCATTTGTCAAGATTTTTCAAAACTGTATAATCAGTTCATTTGCTGATCCCATTAATACTCAACAATGCAGATAATCAAGACTGGCTGATATTCTATGATTGAATTTTATAAATATTTCATTACCTGCTCTTTATCGTTAGTCTTCATGGGTCTTCCTTCCGCTCCTCATTACTGCACATGTGAGAAGGTGCACTATGACCCATCCTATAAAACCTAAGATACTGCTAAAGGGAGGATACTGGACTTGCTGACTCACTTAAGGTTGATCCAAAACTCATTGAAGTCAATGGAAAAACTGGTTGACTTCAATGATCTTTGGATCAGACTTGTAGAGAGGTTAGACACATGGGTATAAAACAACAAAATGAGATTCAGATTGGAGAAATGCAGCCTAATATACCTGGGGAAAAATACATCCAAAATAACAATCTTTAATGGGATGGAGAAGCATAAAAATCAATTTGTGACAGATATTGCAACTGCATGCAGTATCTTTGGGGACCATATTGTATTACAGTTATGTAATATTGTATTACAGCTTATGTATTACTGTGGGCCTGGGATTGTATACACCTACCGCAGATAGGTTACCATGACTTCTTCAGGAACCGAAAACTATGGAGGGTATTAAGATGAATCACTCAGATTGTAACATCTCCAAAGAGGTAGCACCCCTGGGGGAGGCTTGCATATATGGTTCAAACTGGGTTTTCCAGAGACCAATAGACAAAAAAGGGGCTTTTGGTATGAAAAGGCTGCATTTAAACTGACTCAGGGCCTTCTTTTTGATCCAGCAAACAGACAGGACCTTCTGTTTGACAGGGGCCCAAACCTTGTGGAAGGGTGGGAAAGACTTTGACTGACTAGGGTCCCATAAGACTGACAGGTGAGCTTTGGTAAGCTTTTAGCCTGTGTATAGGAAATTGTATTGTTTTTTATATGTAGCACAAACTGGTACCTGAACTTGATTCACTTCCATTTTACCATTCTGGACTGTTTTTGAAAGTTGAAGTAGTGTCTTGCCTAGCATCTCCATTACGAAGAGTTTAGTCCTAGATCCTCTAGGTATTTAGGCACCTAACTTCCATTGATTTCAATGGGAGTTAGGTACCTAAATACCGTTGAGGATTTTAGTTCTTGGGGAAAGACAAAATACATATATTTTCTA